CCGAGAAAATATGTAACCCCGCCCCCAGCCACAATCCGCAGTCTCTGGGGGCTGCCAAGAGCGCTTAGATGTGGGGCTCACCGATAGCTGCGTTCCTCTTCTCAAACTTCATTTTGAGCTCTGACACGAGGGCGTTGTGGGCGCTGCCATGACCTCTCTTCTTCAGCTGCTTGTTTATAAACTTGGGAGTGAGGGAGCCGGACACGGTTGGCACCCGCCACCCCAGGGTGTCCCCCCTGGGAGCCAGGGTGGGGGGCGGCGGGGGCGAGGGGGCGGTCGGCAGCACAGGGGCAACCTGGATGTTGTTGTTGCTGTTCTCGTTGTGTAGGCTCTTGGCATCATCCTCAACGACAAACTTCTCCGCAGCATTGCTGGGCCTCTTGAACTTCAGCCACTCCATCCTGACTGCCCGGGACTGCAGGGTCTGTCTCTTTTTTATGATCCTTCTTACCGGCATGATTTTGTTGGACCGCTTATTGCGCCAGAACATGGCAGTAGAGATCATGATAGTTATCAGCACCATTATGCCCATGACGCCAGCTAGCACTCCTAAGGCTTTCATGGGATTATCTTTAGTTTGCATCAAAAAGGCGGCCATAGGCCCTTTGTGAAGAGTCTGTAAAAGAGTACAAAGAAAACACATGACTTACTCTGTGGGACAGACAGTGACCCAGAAATTTCATTTGTCCAAAATATGTAACAAGCAGGGCTGACTAATGGAAATTGTCTCTAAAAAAAAATGAGAGTCAAAGAGCCAGTCCAGGTTTGGAGAATTTAAATGGAGCAGGAGACTGGGCAAGCATTACAGTATGTGAGATGGACGACTGTCGAACACAAAAGCTTGCAGGAGTACTACCGCCAACGTAGGACGGATTCCTGCGTGTCACCATAGTGCTTGTTTAACTTGCAAGAACTGAGCAAGAAAATAATTGGCTCCAGGATCTGCAGCTGTATTGCTGTACTACATTTCAGAGTTAATTTCTTCGCAATAATAGTGCTGAACCCAAACAGAAGTTTATGAGTAGAAAATGATCTTTCAGAAAGAGTTGCAGGTGAGTCGGTGATGCAGTTTATAGGATTATTACTGAGCATGGCATTAAAAAGATTATGAGAAAACTTCACTTTATAAAATTACAGTGTACAAATGAGTAGTTGGCAGGTATGTACTGCATTCTGTTTTCAAGTACTCTTTTACAGACATAACAAAACTCTTTGAGGTAGGGGACATGAGTAGAGCTAAAGAGCTTTGTTTTTAGAAATAAAAGAAATAAGCAGTAACATAAGCTACATATGGCATATTAAGGACAAATGAATGGCCAGTTCACTTTGCAGCTTAGCACACTGTGCGTCTCGGAGGTCCCCGTATAATTTTGCGGATTTTGCCCTGCGGGTGGAGCCTGGATCTTTTCACACTTTTCCAGTACATGATGGTGGAGATCACCATTGTTACAGAAATGGTGGAAAGGACGCCACTCATGCAAATTCCAAATACTGTCCATGGACGCTTCTTGAGACCTAAAATATAGGATTTTACCCTGGACTTGATCTGGAAATATCAAAAATAAGAGAAATGGTCAACCCTCACGTATTTATATTTGAAAGAGGCCAGCATCTATTATAAATACAACTAGGGAACTAGGGTAAAATGCGTACAGGATAGAAAGCATATAAAATAAAGGGAGCTAAGTGTTGAACTAGGCACAGGAGAGGAGATTGCAATGACATTGAACTGAATCCACAAACACTAAAAGAAGTTAGGAAGCATGTATAAACACCTGGCTGATCAGCGAATAAAGGGTAGCAGCGCGGCACATAGATCACCCTTATTCATGGCATGGTAGTCCACCCTTGGACTACATTTTCAAGAGAAGTTCATAATGAATACAAGCTCCTGCAAGGGTATCTGGACAGACAGTAGTGTTGTGCAAGGCCAGAAGATCCTTCAGAAATGGCACATGGGCAAAGAAATGCTATTAAACTCATGAACCACACTACCTTACAGGTAGCGACCAACTGTCATCATTTTGCTGTGCAAAGAGTTTTTTCATTATTTAATTAGGAATGGACCTAAGCTAGAAACCAAAAGCAGAGCAGTCCACGGCTTTGGTGGAGCTTGGATTCGTATCAGCTTTGCTGTTCTGCATTACATGGATTTTGTGTATTTAAATCCCATCAGATGACAGAAATTCTACCCTGTCTCACTTAACTTCATGTGAAAGTCTGATGAATTAAGTGTCAGATAAATCCTGTTAAGTAGTACATGACCTGAAATCAGTCCACTTATGAGTGTTGTCAAGACCTATTTTGTAGTGAGGCACGGATGGCTAAATAGTATAGGACCAACACAAGGAGAAAGATGACATACAATTAAGAAGATTCTATATCTCGGTAATAATTATTTGATTAGCTATTTGAAAACCTTGAATAAACAGGATTAGACAAAAGTACATGTCTATGTTGCCGGTGTACAACAGTCGCAGGGGTAAGAACTGATGGAAGTCGTATGGGGAGTTTCAGAATTCAGCTTTGTTCATCTCCCCCTTGTCTCACCAAGTTTGGCACCTGTTCAGAGCTTCCAGTTATGACAAGGTGATTAACACCAAAACGAAACCCATTAATAGTTAGCTGGTTCAGCCTCTATTCTAGTTACTGGGCCTGTACTATACAAAGCTTTGCCTGGAATCAGCCTTGGATAACTTCTTCAGTAACGTCTGCATAAAAAAAACATAAGGCATTTTGTAAGCATACTCTGGGAGAATTTCTGTTTGTCATGGCCATGACACTCACAGGATAAATAGGAAGAGTAACTTGCAAAACAAGCCTGGAACAGCATCATCTTAGCCAGCCTGCAGAGAGGCTTACGTAAGTGCATTTGTCACCAAAAATCTTTACAATCTTGTCTGTGTCATCACTGTGGCCCAGCCAGTTAACACACAGACCAGGTCTGAGAGAGGTCTGAGCACATTCTGACAGTGAAAATCTGGGAGCGTGGGGACACCGAAGTTTAAGCGCTTTGGCTCTGAGCACTACCCTGCATGTTCAAAACACCTTCAAGTCACCGTATCAATTACCAACAGTGCCTCAGAACCGGGTCAACAAATAGTCCCACTTTATAATTAATTTAGCTGTAGTTTTTTCCTAAGAGGCATGCTGCATTTTGAAGAATACTGATTTTTCTTGTACACATAAAAAAAAAGCAGATACACAATGAAATGAAAGCTGGTATGGGAAGCACTGTCATATCTCTGTGGACCAAAACCTGGAAGAAACACTCTCTTTCTTAATAGCCATCAAAAAAAGTTAAAATACCACTGCTCACAAAAGATAATGCTCCGCTGTTTTTTTGCTGTGATTTCACAGTTATAATGAGCACTGGCCCAGAGAAGGGTTGGGGACAATTAGAGGGTTACAGAACCGTGGCAGAAGTTTGGATGTAGCTAAGCTGTTCCTATCAGCTTTGAGAAAGGAGAAGTCCAATCCTGGGACAAGAATACAATTAAAAAGATTAAAACACCTGTTTGGATTAAAAAATGTCATCACCTATTTTTTTGTTTGACAGGCAAGTATGGTCCCTTGCAGAACCCTTGTGACTGTCTGTCCCCTGCAGAGAAGCTCCTCAGCCTGCGTCCCGCAGGGTGCTGGTGTCCAGCAGTCACTGGGACTCGCCAGCTTTTGAGAGGCTCTAACATTGACACATGCCTTTGAAGCCGGTTTCGTAAGACCCCGCATTGTGCAGCTTCAGCGTAGACAGATGCTTTCAGGCTGCGTACCTGAAGGGCAGGCTGCAGAAAACACCCCTCTGCAGCACGTGGGGCTTATTCTTGCCATCCTTCCTCCACAGTGGCTTCCTCCTCAGAAAACTGAGTTTTTCCAAAAGGATTCCCATGTCTCTCTCTGCTCCTGAAATGGTGACTTACTTCCTTTGTTTTTCTCTCTCCTGCCACAACAGTTTGCAGTGTGCAGACATCCACACCTCCTGGCAGCTTCTCAAGAGCCTTTCATAATGCACGGGTTGCAGTGAGCAGAACAAGTGGGCAGCGTATCCAGAAGTTGGACCCAGCAGGAGTGTGCAGTTGAGCTGTTCAACCACGAGACCAGCTAAGGCTCACCAGCTATATTTAGAAGTCTAAGAAAGCAGGCAAAGCTGTTAAGAGCCCAAGCTATCACAGATTATAGACAACTTGGGCTGTGTCGACTTGAGCAAGTGGATCTGTACAACGAACCAGCTGGTTCTGAAGATCCCACTTCCACATATTCAGCATTTCTGGGGTTTTGCTTCAGATTGCTCTAGCCTGGTTGCAGGGACGGACTGCCCTCTGGCACCAAAGCACACTAGGTGCGGTCCCCAAACACATTTTCCTCTGAAAGAAGTCCACTTTGTGTGCTTGGAGCTATCCGGGACATAAGCCACCCCACTGTATGTGGGGATGATCAGGAGATCTGCTTCAGAAGTAAATCCTGATCCGAGGTAGAACACAAGCTGCCCCCTCCGGTGCTTATCCCAAAGAGCAGTGCTATCACCGTATATAAAGGCTGCATTTACATCTTACATATTACTTTGTAATACAAACACGAGCATGGGGCAAGACTTCTCAAATCAAACCAACCTTTTCTGAACTATTTATTTCAAGGTCCATGTAACAGTGGAAAGAAAAAGCTAACTGCTGTGCAAATGTGGCAAAGGATGTTTAGTGCCATCAGCAACCACACTTCCCATGGCTGCAGAGTTAGTATGACAGAGGAGGAAATATCCACATTAATTCACAGAAGGTATTTGTTGAACCTTTCAGTTAGGGGAATCTAAAACTGAGACTCACCAGCTACATTTAGAAGTCTAAATGAGTGGCCAAAGCGATTAAGAACCACAGATTATGCTATCTAAATGTGGACTTAAGCCTCAGTCCATGAAGAGGTGTAAATAAATGCCCCCATATACTTGCAGAACCTCAGTGGAGTTCATGAAGAGGCAGAGGGATCCCCCCATCAGGCCAACCTTCAGGATCAGGAGTGGGAATCAGTTTTTCCGTGAAAATCTTGGGCAGCAGTAATAGATTTTTGAATGAGATGTAAGGGTGAAAAAAGAGTGGCTTTTTCAGCATATGTTTCTTATTCTGTTGAGAAAGGATAGGAGATTAACAGATGCCACTCAATACCAATTTCCATAAAACCAGACTCAGTTAAATTAAAAGGCCTCTGGAATTTTTTATCACTGTATTATTCCAAGAGCTAAAGGTCCTTTTGATGTGCAATACTGCTGAACTTAGCCACAAGGCATCTATCTTGAAGGGCACAGCCTTGTGCTAATTGCAATGGTAAATGTTAATCAGAAAATATGCCTGTTTAATTACTTGGTGTGATTAACACTCCAGGAAACCTCTAGAGGATGCATTAAAAAATATCCTCCTTATCCAAAATCAGTAATACATAAATGCCCACCAAACAGCTAAAAGAGACTCTGTACAGCTGGAGCACAGAGGAATGAAATGTACATTTGTAACAGCCTGTGAGAGTGTGTGCATGTGTGCGAGAGTGCGTGTGTACGCGATGTCCCTACACCAAGAGACTGTTTCCTTCACAAAGTGTTAGCAGCGACTGTGCTGTGTCTGGGACATAGGGAGTGACCAAGGGTTTTGTACGCTGGCACTGCATCTCATTCACGTGCAAGCTGAAATTTGAGAATGGTTTTTTCAAGGAGACGTGATGCTCTTGGATAAAAAAAAAAACCAACCCAAATCATTGCAAGCAATGGAAGAAGTAATGGAGAAATGCACAAAAGCTTACGGAGGATGCGACATCAGATTAGTAGTGCAGATCCTG